GGGTGGCCCGCGCCGCCCAGGCCCCGGCCACGCGCCCGACATTTCGCGATTCTTTTCGCCGATACGCCTCCTCGATACTCTCCTTGCGCTCCTTCGAATCGCAATCCCGATCTTGTTTTCGTTGATAACGAGAAACTTGTAGAGGTCTCATTCGTTCATTTTGCTTTCTTCTTCTTGATTTCGAGGAAATTCGTAGAGGTCGATTCTCTTGGGAATGGAATTAATTATGATTAATAGAAGTGTTATAGTATGTAATATAAAGTTATGAGTTTAGCATTGTCTCGAACTGTTGTCCATCGATCGATCGCAAATCGATTTTTTTTGGTAATTACAAAAGGGCGTACGAAAGAAGAGATTATAGAAGGGAGGAATGATAGGCGAATGATAGGCGAGTATCGAATTTCTTTTCTTTTCTTTTTTTTTTTTTTAATTTTCTACAAGGTATCAACGTGCCCTGTTTAGAAATGACTCAATCGCGATAGTGCGCGGTCAGCGAAAATATTTCCACCTCGAAGGCCAACAAGAGGCGCGCAGGAAGCGGTCTCGAGGAGAAAAAGTGAGAAAGAGGAAAGAGGAAAGCAACAACGCGATCGATCGTTTCTTTCTCCTTTTCCCTCCCTCGCCGTTTGATCGTTCATTGCAAGAGGAGGAAGAGGAACAAAGTGTAGAGGGAAAATGATATAAACGCCAAGATATTTTTTTCTTTTTTTTTTTTTTTGTTTACCCACCCCTCTTCTTTGATAAAGAAGAAGGGAGAACACGTTTCGATTGCGAACACGTTGGTATCGTCGCCGCTAATTAAACGGAGGATAGTTTCGATATTAGCGGAGGAAAATGGTGAGCACGGTCTTCCCGGCGCAACCTCCGGTAACAAACTTATCGATCCATCGATCGTTGCGTTCCACAGAAAGGTCACGAGGATCATGACGGAGGAGAGATATACACGTTGGCACGCGTTCACGTGCGCTCGATGCGGCGACAAAACCGCATACCCTGCGATTCCTGCGCGAAACCGATTATCGATTATCGAGAATATTTCGATACATTGACAACGATATATTTTGTCAAGGATATGATACAATTTTTTTCGGATTCTATCTCTATTAATTTGTGATCGTAGAAAAAGAAAAAATGTTGATGAATATTTTTTTTTTTTTTTTTTTTCATTCGTTTAGATTGATTCGTGAAATTTCGATAGGAATTGAATATCGTTTTCGAAATCTAACGTTCCAACAAATTTGCCTTAATTGTCGAGCGAACTGATCGATGATAAGTCGACGGTATACACTCGGCCAATATATTTCATACTCGAGCACACTGGGGAAACTTCAACTTTCCTTTCACTTAACTTTTACTTCAAACTTCAAACGCCGCCATTATGATACCAATTTACGATCTTATCTCACGTTGCATGGAAGTGTCGACGAGAGACCGATCATTAACGGACTTCCGTTCAATTTGCCACGCTGTTAGTGCCCCGAACAAAATAGATAAAAATATCCATTTATTTTTTACTCTTGTATATATTATACGTAGAAAAATTTTGCGTGTCTTTCTCTCTTCCTCTCGCTTGAACGTCGTACAGCTATTCTCTCTCTCTTTCTCTCTCTCTTGCACACGATGCATTCGGCCATCTCTCCTTTCTCTCACACGTAGCCACACACATAGCAAACCTTCCAATCTTCTTCCTCTCTCCGTCTTTCTCTCCTCGGCATCTTCTTCTTCTTCTTCTTCTTCTTCTTCTTCTTGCTCCTCCTCTTCTTCTTCTCGCTTCGGTTCTCCTCCTTTGCAACGCGCGATCGCGATCTGTGCCGAGAAGGTAAAGGAGGAGGGGGAGGAGAAGGAGAGGACGTCCAGGTGGAACGTCCAAGCCCGAGGAGGAGAGATCGTTAACGCGGGTTGAACAATCGAATCGCGTAATGTTAATCGTGGTGGAAATAACGTAACATCGGTGACGATAACGATGCAGTTTCTAATTATTTGACGCGCATATTCGTTGCTGGAATGAATTATAATCGATGATGGTGTACGGAGATTGGAAAGAGGATCGTGTTTTTCGTTGCGTACGTCACATGACAGTGACAGCGCGTAGAAAATCAACAGTTTTGTAGAAAATCAATTTGAGTTCTTTTTTTCTATTTTTTGAATTTGGATCTGCTTAAAAAAATTTCGCTCGCTTTTCTTTTTTTTTTAATTTAATTTAATTAAACTCGTCGTACATCGTGTGTTGCAGAAATTTGTACAATTTTATTGACAGATCGGGATAAGATTACTGAAAATACTCTATCTTGAGACGAATTATGCGATTTTATTCATTTATTAATCGGCAAGATATTATTCAAGTTTCGATCTTCTTTTATTGTTCTTTATAAATATTAAATATAACGACGATTTCGAATTTGGAGATATTTTGGTAGGAAAATAAAAAAAGTCTTAAATAGTGAATATACTTAGAAGATATTTAGATATTAACATAGGCGATTCAACGTATCGATAATATATAAGGGTTAGATTCTTCTGAAAAAAATAAAGACATACAGTACATTTCAATTAGTTTACACTCCCATATAAAACTCCTTGATTTTACAAAATGAACACAATAAATAGATTATTCCCCAAATCCTCGCAACAACCATATTATAAATCCGTGTTACTGCACGGATTACAAAAAAGAAAAAAAGAATGGGTGGTCTGTATATTATTTGTCGCACAAAAATCCAATTTTCAAATGATAATTAAAATCAAATTTGAATTTTAAAAACTAATCCACGCATATTTCACGTATATTATTTTTACGTAAAATACTAGCTTTCTACCCGACGCTCCAATTTAATTTTTCCTTAAAACCTCAAGCAAAAACTTTTATACCACATCCCTTTATCTTTATCCTACATAGTTGTAAGAACACCACAACTTCCAACAACTTAACCAACGTACGAACAATCAAACGTTCGTTCCCTCCCACCCCTCGAAGGATAAAACCCCTTGATTCGCGCCGTTAAATTACAGACCACCCTACGATATCGATATTTCTCTGTTCAGAGGAGCCCGT